AAAGAAAGAAAAGAAAAAAGAAAAAATAGATCTCCTCAAGAGCATGGGAGTGGTGGGGGATCAGCAATACATAAGAGCCAGAATTTTAAACCTTTGTTCAAATCAGTTAGAATTATTCTCCCTGCCACCCTCACCCCTAACCCTCAGCCCCAGAAGAAAGCAAACACTCTCCCTAGAGTGAGAATCAGGCCTAGAAAGGGGAGCCCCTAAAAAGGAGACTCCCTCTGCCTCCCAAACTGTCTGGCCTACACAATCTGAGCAACTGAAGGCCAGTCGGAGTGGTGGAAAAGTGGAGGGAGTCTAACTTCTGGACCTGCCAGACTCAAGCGTCCCTGCCTTACTGACAGCGGAGTGATTAGTACCGGTCCTGCTGCTCCTACTTACCTTCTTGATGTTGTACATACGGATGAGAACCCCCTGACCCCGATTATTGAGGATAGTGAGCTTCTCTGCTAATTTATGCTGGTAGGCAGAGGTCAAAGACATGATGGCCACCGAGGGAGAGGAGCATCCGAACAGCAACGTCTGGGCTCCCCAAACACTCCCAGCGTGGGTGGTGACACCCTCTGGGTGGAGGAACCCAGTCTGGTTGGTGCGCGAGTCTTCCTGTTGCCTCTGCAATTGGCTTATGGGTGAAGCAGTCATTATGGTTCACAGGCACTTTCGGCCTCCTGTGCTTCCTCTTGCACACTCAGCAGGGGAGACTTCCTCTTTCTGGGTCCTTTGGTAACGCTGTGAAGTGGGTGGTGCCGGGGAAAGAGGCTTTCAAGGCTTTTACAGTGTGGCACCAATGTTTTTGGCCTTTGCCCTCAAAAAGGATCCTGGACAAAGTTCTACACTAGACCAACAAGTTATCTACCACCCCACCCCATACACATATCACTATACTTTCCCTCTTTCATGTCCCCATCAAGAATGAGCCTGTGAGGCAGGCATGGTGGCACACGCCTGTAATCCCAGCACTCGGGAGGCTGAGGCAGGAGGATTGTTGCAAGTTCAAGACCAGTCTGGGCTACAAAGTGAGCTCAAGGCCAGTATGAACTGCATAGTGAGACCCTGTCTCAAAAAGGCAAAGAATGAGCCTGTGTCTGCTGAACCTTATGCCTCGTTGTCTTTTAGAACACAGATCAAATCCCATCTACCTCATCCAGTGTCAAATATTATACTGTAAACTGCAAAACTATACATATGTGAGGTACTTAAAGAAATAAGACATCTACCTAAAAATATAATGGAGCTGGGTGTGGCGGCGCACACCTGTAATCCCAGCACTCGGGAGGCTGAAGCAGGAGGACCGTTGTGAGTTCAAGATGAACCTGAACTGCATAGTGAGACCCTGTTTCAAAAAGACCAAAAAAAAAAAATTCTCTGGCTCCATCCCAGAGCTACTGAATCAAAATCTCTGGGGTTGGTCCAGAGTTGCTCTATTAACAATCCCTCCAGGTAATTCCAATGTACCTTAAGTTTGAGAACAACTGCTCTAGAATAATGGTACTTTATGTGCTTAAAAACTGAGGTCAATTCCTGTCCTTTGAGATTCAGATAGGGAGTTCTGTGGTGGGCCTAGAAATCTGCTTTTATAAGTACCATAAGAGGTTCCATTACAAATGTTCCAGGAGACACACGATGAAAACATTTAGAAACAACACCTCTTGGATACAGCTGCCACTCAATAAATATACTGGCTTATTTGTTGAGTTATTAAGATTAAATTGCAACGTAAGTCCCATGAAAAAGAACCAAATAATCAAGATTAACAAGAGGAAATTAATAATGACCCTGAAATCTTAGAGGACTGAATAAATTTCACACTAAAATATTCTTGCCATTTGAGCCAAACCTTAACCCTTAACTTAAGAAAACTTTGAACTCCCTTTAAGGTTCTTTCACAACACATACCAAGAAAAGGCCCAGGAAAAATTCTAAATCAGATGGAGTCATCTTTGTATCCATGTCTTTTCCAATACCTTTTCTCTGTCTTTTAGTTATTCCCATTTCTCCAAATCCAGAACCTTCATACTATCCCAATAAATCCTGGTGATGAGGGAAATAGGGACGGACAGTCAGGTCTGATCAGCACTATTTAAGGCATGTGTGTGCTCCCCAAGGATTTTTTTTTTTTTTTTTTTTTTGGTATGGGAATCTAACTCAGGACCTTGCACTTGCCAGGCAGGCACTTGTGCTGCTGAGCTATATCCCTGGCCCAAGAATATATTTTTTAAAGAAACCCAAGATGCCCATGCTTAAAAATGTTAAATTTCAAACATCTCTAAAGGAGACTTTGGATTTTTGGAGAAGAGAATCTACCTTCCAGTTTATTTCCAGGATTGTGTCCCTAAAAAGCTATGACCCTGGCATAATATAATATTGGCCCTGAAGATCTGAATCACCTGCTGTTATCAAAGAAACCTGGGATCCACTAAACAGGCTTGTGTGATTTCTATTGGTCTTTTACCTTGATGGAGGAAAATAAAGAGAAGTCAGGAAGCGGTCAGCATTTAGGCCAACTGAGCAACAGAACAGCACCAACCTTCTCAGGGTTAGTATCATCCTCTTGCTTCTTTGTACTTGTATTTCTTATTCTTACCCCAGCATTTCATTGAAAAGTCTCCATCCCAAGCCAATCTTGTTTTCTGTGATCCCCTAACATGGGCTTCACAACCTAGTAGGGACCGTGCACTCTATCTGCTGTGAATGTGCTATGCTCTTTTCTGCCTTCCTTTACATACGTTTCCCTCTTACTGACACAAATCCTATTCAATCTTTAGGACCTAGCTCAATACTCCCAAGTTCAGCCCTTGCTGAACTCTTACAGCACTTTGTTTATATCACATATTTCACATCTAAATCAGATTTTCTCTCTCATTGCCCATTTTATATTGTACTCCCCTGCCTACTGAAGTGAAAGGTTGCTGCAGCCTGGAAAGACATATTCTCCTGTGCGTAGGATCCAGGGAAAGTTTACACTTCGGTATCAGTCAGCATTGAGCTCAAACATAGTTAAGTACAGTTAGTTAAACCCTACGACTTGGAGGGTAAGGGCCCAGGTTCTGGGGCCAGATAGTTTGAGTTCACATTCTCCCTTTGTGATTTATCAGCTGACCAAATTTCCCTGCCTGTAAAATGGAGATATTAATAATCACTCCTATTTCATGGGGGCCATTCTGTGTATTAAATAGATTAGTGCATGCAAAATGATAACCAACTTACTATATACTAAGTATTTCAGTGCTTTATATGTATTGCCTCAAACAATATTAATAATGCTATCAAACACACTCTAGCTTTGCAACTTTAGGCTGCCCCTTTAAGCTGCTGCTATATCCCCAGTCAGTAGCCTAATCTGTTTGTGTTGGTAATCCCTCACACAATGGCAGAAGGGATAACGATTTGGCCAATGTAAACATTTGGCTCAAGGCCTACTACATTAGATTAGGAATGCCCACAGCAAACTAAAGTTTTTATTTGTAAGTCTGTACTGAGCTTTTTATGTCACTTTTTGTGGAACTCTATTTGGTACCCTGTAAAGAAAAAAGGCCAGGTTTAAATATGGAACTAATCATGCCAACTGGTAGTGTTTAGAGAATCTTTTTTGGAAAGCTTGTGTCGCAGTTCCCCCTGAGAACTGGAGGAGCCCTCCTAAAGGTATTTAATTACCCTAGAGCAAAACCTAGTAACCTAGCTGCAAACCAGAATCCCCGGTGGAGCCTTTTTAAAGCTACACTCAGCTTGACAGCACTTTTGAGATTCTGATCCAGTCGTTTCGGTGTGACACCAAAGCACCTGTCACTTTAAAACTGCTCAGTGATTCTTGTGTACAGTAAGACTGAGAATCACTTTTCTAAGACTTTGCCACAACATTACAATCTTCTAAATCTCTGGGAAACTACAGACGCTATGGTGGGAGGAAAGGAATTGAACAGAAAGCTTGAACAGCATTTTGATTCCCATCATTGCCTGAAAGGTACTGTGCTTTTTCTGACTTCAAATACCTCGTCTGTCCCCCTTGTGTGCCCTACAGAAGGATCACATTCCTCTTCCAGGCACACTTCCCTTGGGAGTCTTGAGAGACACTACTTTAAGATCAGGTAGGTCTTGAAGTCCTTCACGCTAGGCTTAAGTGTCAAGGTGGCATCAAGCTTGGAATACTCTTGCCAAAACCGACCTGTGTTAAAACACATGACCTTCATCCAAGTCTTGGCCTCCCTAAGTGGGATATTCATCTATCAATAATTAAGTGAATGTGGGTGTGATGGTGTGCACCTGTAATCTCAGCTACCCAGGAAGCTGACAAGGAAGTGTTGTAAATTTAAGGGCAGCCTGGGCAATTGAGCATGACTCCATCTCAGAATAATAATCGTCATCATAATAATGATTAAATAAACAATCCAGTGTCACCAACTGTCCCTGCCTATTCTGAAACAGTCTTAAAGTCTAGCCTTGTTACTCTGGTCAAAATTTATACTTTTCTAGAGTGTTGGCTAAAATTAGGATTTGGGATTGTCCGAAAATTGTATTTGGGTATTATAGAACCTTTTTCATTATGTTTAAGAACCTGAGAATAACTATATGCCATATTGGATTATAGTGAGGCCTTTATTTTCCAAAAAATCCAATTCATTTTATAATGTGTTCTAATATAATCATGGATATGCAGTGAAAGCTTTAAAGTACTACCCTGGCTTGTGTTCGTAAAAGCTACCTGAGTCTAAGCCCCGGATTTAATCACCAAATTGCCCTCAGGAAAATCTGACATTTTACAGTCTAGCTCTGTGCCCTTTGTGTATGCCCTGGGCATGATACAAAGTAGAATTGAAATGGCATATTCCAGGGAACTTTTCCATCCTTACTACTTAGGCCAGTCTGCCTTGATCTCCCACCCCACCCCACCCCCTATCAAACTGTACCTCGGGGCTTTGCAGAAATCTCAGCTGTAATTGTTGCCTAGAAACTTGGAAGTCCTTGAAATTAATGTCTGCTAGGATTGCTAAAGACAGCTAGTCATAGGAAAAAAGTAGGCCTCCTATTGGCAGTAAAAATGTAGCAGATTTGAGATGTTGTATTTTTAGTTCACTTCTATGAGTCTCCATATATTAATACATACAACCTCAGAGATTTCAGGCGGATGTTCTCAAGTAACCATAAAGTACCTGAACTTGAACATTGTACTGTTCATTCTCCTCCAAAGATGACTATGTTGACCTATATGACAATCAGCGTCTTTCCCTGCCAAAGAGCTTAATTTAAGAAAACTGGAAACGGGAGGGAAGGGACCAATGCTGAGCAGTATAAAGGGACTTGCTATCCCAGGCTTACTTTCTCCAACATTCAAGTTTATAGCGTTAAGCACTGTTTTTCCTTCCAGATCTGTGAGTTTTCTAAAGATTCCTCCCTGTTTAATACTCTACTTAACAGCCACACACTCTGTTTAGAATAATATTTAAAACGTATACAGCCGGCCGTGGTGGCTCACGCCTGTAATCCCAGCACTTGAGAGGCTGAGGCAGGAGGATCGTTTTGAGTTTGAGACCAGCCTGGGCTACAAAGTGAGCTCAAGGACAGCCTGAACTGCATAGTAAGACCCTGTCTCAAAGAGACAAAAGAATAAAACATATGCAGCTGGCTGTGGTGGCACATGACTATAATCCCAGCACTCAGGAGTTTGAGGCAGGAGGATCATTGCAAGTTCAAGGCTAGCCTGGGCTATAAAGTGAGCTCAAGGCCATCCTAAACTGCATAGGGAAACCCTGCCTCAAAAAGACCAAAAAAAAACAAAAAAAAAAAACAAAAAAGACATATACAAATATTAAACTTTGGTCTTTCAAGGTATGGGAGAAGTAAATTTCCTCTATTGTCTAACTGGCTAGGCTATTGCTTTAGTAATTCAAAACTTTCATAGGTAAAACTTGAGATAACATATCTTTCATTCTACTTTTCTTTGAAAAATAGAAAATACGCTTTATGTCAAGACTACGTAATCTCAAATGTCAATCTTTTTTTTAACCAACCTGTGGTTCCTGCTTTTTAGGCCTCATGGAGCCAGAAGCCTTGAAAATATGTCCTTATATCCCAACCCACAAGATGCCAGCTAGCAGATTACAGTACCACCTGGTGTCATGCAAAAAGGTTAGTTTTTCTGATAAGAACTCGAAATCCCTAGAAGGGAAACATAAGCTCAAAATATAAAGAGTTAATGTTAAAAACAAAAGCTTCCGACTATATGTAGCACCTGGAAGTTCTTAAGGTTGAAATATGATATTTCTTCAAGAATTTCCGGAAATGAATTGAGGGTAGAACACAAGCAAACTCTAACAAGAACTTTTTCTTTCTAGAAAAATCCAAACATAGCTAAGAAGATGGCTAGCTGCAAATACAATGCTTGTCATGTGGTTCCAATCAAAAGACTCAAGGAACATGAGGCTAATTGTGTCTACAGAACTGCTGTTGATGATGGTAAGTTTTTTATTTGGTGGCAGGTAAGCAGCATTAAATTCTGTTGTTCCTGTTCCACTGTGTCTCATAACTATGGAAGCCTTAAAACACGAGTATTACACAAAAGGAAACTTCTACTCCTGTCAATACTGGTTTACTTTTATTTCAGAGCCAGTTAATCTTCCCAAGTTGATTTCTACAAATTTGGAATTAAAGGAAAAACTTCCTTGTACTGCCAGTCAGATTCCTGACCCGATTGTCTGGGATATAGGTGAGCAAGGGTGTAACGGTGAACATAACCACTATGAATGACTGCCTGATTTCTATGCCCTTTATAGCTAATGGAAAATTAAATCTTGATGCTCTTCCCACAGAATCATTAACTAAACAATCCAATTAGTATATCTAAAAATTTCACCTGACTCTGGAGAGATAGCCCAGTAAAAAGGAGCCTCGCTAAAATCTGAATTCACTTAAAACAGTTAAGGATTCTGACCTTGAGCTGAGCGTGTTGTCACACACCTGTGATCCCAATATGCTGGGAGGCTGAGGCAGGAGGATCACAAGTGCAAGCCCAACCTGGGCAATTTAGCAAGACCCTCTATCAAAATAAAAAAAATTTAAAAGCCTGGGGAACTAGCTGAGTACAAAGGCTCTGGGTTTAATCCCCAGTACTGGGGAAAAAAATGATTCTGATCACCCACATCTGGAACTTGAAATTTTGGAACTTATCACTTATCTCAAGTAATGTCCTGTCTACAATGCAGCGTGTTATAATGAAGACCTCACTGGCTTTCAGTCATATCCAGGTTCAGCAATCTGCTCTGGCCTAAGCGAAATCAGCTCTCAAACACATCTTCATCTATGAAACACTGACTCACAGTCAGTCTTAATATTAAATAGAAGCTAGAGAATAGCTTGGAGCATTTGCCTTGCATGCACGAAGCCCTAAGTTCAATCTCTATCCCCACAAAATAAAGATACATGTGTTAGAACAATATTAGCTCCTGTAATATATAACCTCCAAACCATGTTAATATCGCGGCTTTTTTTCTTTTTTAGACAAGGTCTCACGATGTAGGCCAGGCTGACCTTGAACTCACTATGTAGCCCAGGCTGGCCTCCAACTCCCAGTGATCCTCCTGCCTCAGCCTCCTGAGTGCTGAGATTACAGGTCTGCACCACCGTGCCCAGCAATGAGACAACAGAAGTTTTCTTGTGTAAATCCCGGTACAAGTATTGGATAAGTGATAGGGAATCAAGGACAAATGGTCTTTTCATCTTGCTGTCACCTTCTCCATTTAACTTTCAAAGCTGTCACAAAAGAATGAAGAAGGCGCCTCAGCCCAGAATACTTTCATTCCTTTTCCACTGGCAAAACTAGTCACATGAGAGACGTGAGAAAGTGTCCCCAGCAAAACAGCCACTTCCCAGGGATAACTACAGAAGGAAGCCTCCAACATCGGCAGCCAGCTAGTCTTCTCTGCTATGTTGTACAAATGCTTAGTATTGTGTCACCTGCTTCTCCTCTCCTTCTCCCTAGATAACATGAATCACTCTTCTCCCTTCGTTCTTAAGACTTTTACCCCAAGAATCCTGGTTTGTGAAAGGTAAGATAAGCTATATTTTCATTGTCAGATTAGAGAACAGGATACTTGTAAAGCTGGGATCTAACAGTGAGATGAGCACTAGGTCATAGGTATGGTAGACGTTGAAGCTTCAACTACTAAAGACCTGTGGGGGCGCCCTTTGAGTGCTTCCCACTTCTCCACGGCTCCACTTTGGACTGTGTTTCCATAAAGAGCTTGTGCACATCATGTTTTTGATTCTGCGTAAGATTTTCAAAGAAAAAAAGACCTATTCCTTTGTATGTGAAAGGGAAAGAACCAGTCACAATCCCCAACCAAACAAGCCTGAAAGGAACTTTCAAGAGTTCTAAGAGCTGTTAATAGAATTACCCACCATATACACAGGGAGAAGGCGTAACTATACCAAACAAAACAGAAATTAAGGGAAAAAGATTCCTTTACTGATACTCAGCAATATCAAGTATGTTTGATAAAATAACTTAACCGCCTGTAACTGGCTATCTAGCATTCTGCAGTTCTGGTTCTCAACTAACTTTGCTCTTATGATCCTCTCCTACAGTGACTCAAGAGACCTAAAAAAAGAGGCTATGACTGCTAACCATCATAAAAACAATAAAAGGTAGAAAAAAAGGTTAAAAACATTTTTAAGACTAGCATGGCTGGGCATGGTGGTACAAACCTATAATCTCCACACTCTGAGAGGCTGAGGCAGGAGGATCACAAATTTGAGCCCAGCCTGGGCAATTTAGTGACTTAGGAACACCTGGGGATATAGGTTAGTGTGAAGGCCATGGGTTCAATCCCCACTACTGCAAGGGAAAAAAAAAACTAATATAGACAAAATTTTCTTAAGAAAAGTAAACAAATTCTATTAATCTAAGTTCCTCCTTCATTCACAATAGGTACAGGGGAAGTCCTGATGGCCTCAGATCAAACTTGGGAGGAAAGGCTGACTGGGACTGTATTTGAAATGCTGCAGATACCTCAAGCTTAGGTCTTTCCTATAAGCCCTCATATAAAAATGACACTACTTTGGGGCTGGGGATTTAGCTCAGCGGCACAACGCCTGCCTGGCAAGCACAAAGTCGTAAGTTCAATTCCTGGTACCCGGGGGGAAAAAAAAAAAAAAAATGACACTACTTCAATTTTCTTTCTCCCTACAGGTCAGAAAAACTGACAGGGAGGCCAGGGGTGGTGGCACACGCCTATAATCCCAGCACTCGGGAGGCTGAGGCAGGAGTATCATTACAAGTGCAAGGCCAGCCTGAGCTGCAAAGTGAGCTCAAGGTCAGCCTGAACTGCAGAGAGAGACCCTGTCTCAAAAAGACCAAAAAAAGAAAAAAGAAAAAAAGAAAAACTGACAGGGAAGTGTGGATTAAAGAGCCAGCAGACCAAAGATTTATTTTCTAGTTTTTTTTAAGCTTTGGGGAACTCTTAACTGCGGGGGGGGGTGGGCAGATTGGGCGGGGAGTAATTCAGTTGCAGAGTACCTGCCTTGCAAGTGTGAGGCCCTGGGTTCAACCCCCAGCACAGTGAAAGAAAACTCTTAACTGTCATGTTTTAGTAACAACTCTTGCATTAGCATCTTAACATTTTTAAAATTTGCTTAAATAAAGATTATTTTTTCCTATCACAAGTTCGATTTGGTTTTTTATTCCTCCTTATTTTCATTTATTTTTTGGGGGGAGTGGCTTTGTTTTTTAAGACGGGGTCCGTCTGTGTAGCCCAGGCTGGCCTCCAACTCATGCATCCTCCTGCCTCAGCCTGCCAAATGCTGGGATTACAGGCACGTGCCACCGTGCTCAGCTTTCTTCCTTATTTTTATATTCTCATTTGTCGATCAAAGGCTGAGAACTTATTTGCTTACTGCCCTTATTAGTAGAGGAAATAGTCTATGGGTGATAATGCTGCCCCATAATTAGGTTCTTTGTTCCACAAAGTTTTTCTCCAAGTCACTTACTATATGACCATCAGACCACCCTTCAATCAGTTTGCTCTAGGAATCTTCCATTGCTTAAAGATACAGTTCTTATGTCCAGCTGACTTTGGAATATGGCTACAAAGCCACTTTCCTAACTCTCTAAAGGCAATGTCCTCCCATGTTAATATGCTTTCATCTTTGCACTCTGGGTTTTTGTTTATTTGTTTGTTAGTTTGGTAATTTAGGGGATTGAACCCAGGACTTCACACTGCACTACATCCCACTGATTTCCCCCTACCTTTTTATTTTGAGGTAGGGTCTCACTAGGTCACTAAATTGCCTAGGCTGGGCTGGAACTTGCAGTCCTCCTGCCTCAGCCTCCCAGAGTGCTCCAATGACAGGCATGTGCTATCACACCTGACTAACAGGTTGTTTATGTCTCTACAGGACCTTTCATTCTGCTTTATTGTCAAGCTATAAGATGCTTTGGGGTAGACATGATCTTGACTGTTTACTGGTCCTATTAAGGCAAATTATTTTCATGGAATAGCAATAGGCCTTTCCACATACAAAGTTTCTTCCCTAAAATCAAGTTTTAAGGTTTCAACTCTTCCATTCACAGTATAAACTGTGGGAGGAAACATCTGCAAAGCCTCGTACCCTCGTCCTAAATATGTACCAAAACATATCTCATTGGTTCCACATCTTTATTTGTCCCATGTTGGTCCAGACTTTCTGGGCCTTTTAGTTCAGGCTTTCCAAGAGGCGGTATAAGAAAAGGGAGCCAGGCGTGGTGGTGCACACCTGTAATCTCAGCACTTAGGAAGCTGAGGCAGGAGTATTTTTGAGAGTTCAAGACCAGCCTGGGCTACAAAGTGAGCTCAAGGCCAGCCTGAACTGCATAGCAAGACCTTGTCTCAAAAAGACAAAAAAAAAAAAGAAAGAAAAGGAAAGCAAAAACCTCAAATATTTTAGTCTCTTCTTCCCACATAATCTTTGTTTGTTTGTTTTTCTTCCAGTACCAGGAATCGAACTCATGACCTTGCGCTTGCCAGGCAGGCACTTTGCTGCTGAGCTAAATCCCCAGCCCCTCCCCATGTACTCTTTTACAAAATAGACGAATGTCTCACTTTTATAGCACTTGACAAAATATACCTGTGTTCTCAAGTCAAATAATCAAGTATCCACTATATTGGCGACACTATTTAAGAACTAGAGAAGCACGGGGGAAATGGGGAGATGTTGGTCAAAGCCTACAAATTCTCAGGAGATCAATAATCCTAGAGAGCTAATACACACCATGGAAACTATAGTTAATAGCAGTGTATCTGTAAGCCCGGCATGGTATCACATTCCCATAATCCCAGCACTCAGGAGGCTGACACAGGAGCATCACTTCAAGTTTGAGACCAGCCTGGGCTACAGGTGAGTTCAAGAGCGACCTGAACTATGTAGAGAGACCCTATCTCAAAAAACCAACCAAGCAAAAAAAGCGATGTGTTGCACACGTAAAATTTGCTAAATAGATCACCGCGCACCAATAAAAGACAACTATGTCCCAGTTTTGCTAATTAGCTTCACTCTGGGAACTATAACACGAGGTGTACTTCTATCAAAGCATCATGTTGGGGCTGGTATATAGCTCAGTGGCACAGTGCCTGTCTGGCAGGCACAAGGTCCTGAGTTTGATTCCCGGTACCCTCCTCCCAACAAAAAGAATTTTTTAAAAAGTAAGGATTTCATTACAGGTACAGGATAGGTTTTGCAGAGAGAACAAGTCTTATATTTAAACATTTCGCCTTCCTTAAAATAGCAGATCTAAAGAGTGGCAGTATTGGAGTTTCAGAATTGTTCTGTGCAGTGACAGTCTTTTACACAAGTTTTAGCAGGTAAAGTTTCTTTGGCATAATTGTGTCATGCTAGGCTTCTTTTCAACAGCCTTCAGAAAGTTCCCAAGCTGGGCATGGTAGCACACACCTGTAATCCCAGCACTCAGTAGGCTGAGGCAGGAGGATCACAGAGAGTTCAAGGCCAGCCTAGGCTACATTGTGAATTCAAGGCCAGCCTGGACTACACAACAAGACTCTGTCTCAAAAAAACAAAAAAAGGGGCTGGGGGTGTAGCTCAGTGGCACATTGCCTGCTTGGCAAACACAAGGTCCTGAGTTCAATTCCCAGTACCAAAAAAAAAAAAAAAAAAAAAACCCTGGAAAAGAAAGTTTCCATTTCTTTACTTATCTCTTCAACACTAGAACAATTTGCAAAGTTTGGCTTACAATTCACCTAGATGTTAGCACTAAAAAGTGTGTGAGAAGTTATATTTTCCTGAATTCCGGGGAAAAGAACTACTCGTACGTCAGGGGAAAACACAACGGATTTCCTAAGCACTGCATTCTGGTAATTATTATAGACGATGTGGATTACAGACATGGGTAACATTTACATATTAGGACTAACAAAATAACACTTTTCCCCCCCACCACTCTTCCTCTGTCTTACTTTAGCTTTCTAGAGTTGAATATTGACTATCCTTTAGCAAGTTCTTATTAGCAACTCCTTTCTAAACATAAATTTATTTTCCTTAGTTTCTACCTCCTCTCCCTGCTACTGTGCCTGAACAACTATATCTAACTCCAACTTTTCTCTTGCCTGTACAACAGTACTTCCCAATGCCTGTCATCCTCAGCAATAAGAACACCTGGTCCATTTCTCCATCACCCCTTTATTTTCATTCGCAACTATTTATAGAATTTTTCTATTTTTAATTGTACCCTTAACTACCAATCAGAAATCATTATTAAATGAGAGAACCAGGATTTAGTTGATAGAATTCAAGTCAGAAACAAAGAAAGAGTTTTAGTGTTCTTATGGGCAAAAGTTTATTCGGCCTTCTGAAACTGAAAGTTTTGGATGTACCTCAAGGACTATTGGAATTCCTTCAATCCAAAAGGCTTTTAAAAACTCATTTTCTGCCAGGTGTGGTGGCGCACATCTGTAATCCCAGCACTCGGGAGGCAGAAGCAGGAGGATCATTGTGAGTTTGAGACCAGTCTGGGCTACAAAGTGAGCTCAAGGCCAGCCTTCAGGCTGTGTAGCAAGACCCTGTCTCAAAAAGACACACACACACACAAAATTCATTTTCTAACAAAGGTTTGTGTTGTTTGTTTTATACTACAGTACTGGCCACTGAACCTAGGGCTTGACTATGAAGCTATATCTTCAGCCTTTCCTTTGGTGCCAGGAATCAAACTCAGGACCTTGCACTTGCTAGGCAAGCGCTTGGCCACTGAGCTATATCCCCACCCCCACCCCTTTTTTTTTAAAGATAAGATCTCACTAAATGGTTAAGTCTGGCCTTGAACTTTTGGTCTCCTGCCTCACCCTCCTGAACAGCTGGGAATGGAGGCATGCACCCCCATACCCAGCCTAACAAAGGTTTTTTCAGTCACTCAAGTACAGATTTGTCTTTTTAATCATTATCCATAAACTTTTTTTACTAATTATTAATTGCTAAAATATAATCTATAGGGATAAATGCTAGAACGTGCACAGTAAAACCAGAAATTATCAAAATTCAGTTTGGTGTATTAATCTCCACTAACTCCTAAAATGGCCTTCGTTAAAATGACTCGGTCTCTTCTTTCTTGCTATTCAAATATGGTCAGCCTGGCTAGAAAAGCAGTCTGAGAGCAAGCTCAGCGGGGATCTCAGATAAAGCCAAAAGTTCTGGGGTTGAAAAGAATAAATGCATGGTGCATTTTTATTTCAAAGTCACCACTGAAAGGCCGGTTTGAATTTTGTTTATAAGCCGGTAGGCTTGCTCACCAGGGCTAAATGGAATAGCTTTATCAGTTGACAATCCTGACAGCTGAACAAGTCATTTCTGAATGCAGTGAAGCCTGCTTTTGGATTCTGGTTTAGGACCCAATCTTCTTCCTCTCAAGTTCTTAGCTCTTCTTCAGAAATTTCAATTTGCAGGTATCTGTATGAAAAGTACTTCTATGTCATGGTAATAAGGAAAACACTTGTGCCAGATTACTATGCTTTGAAACCTGAAAATCTGTATTTTGGTTCAAATCACTGTGGTCTTACTAATTTAACATGAATGATGTGATACAGTTAGAGGTTAGGATTTCATTAACATCATTTTAAACTATTTCCTAACAATCTGAAACTGACTTGCCAAAACACCAGCCGTTTCTAAAATGCTTTGTGCTAAGCTCGCAATGCAGCTTTCATTCTTAGCAATTATCTTTGAAAAAAAAGCACTTTAACAGCGTGTTCCTTCTTCATATGACTCATCCACGCCATTCAGGTGAAAAAATAGCTTTTGTAAATTCAAAATATTGCTTAGGTCAGTGGTTCTGAACCTTGGCTGCCCATTAGACTCATCTGGATAGGTTTTTTTAAATAACTATTACTGGTTCTTTGTGATTAATTGGTCTGGAATGGGAACTCAACATGGTATGTCTTTCTTTTTTTTTTTTTTGAGAGAGAGGTTCTCACTATGTAGTGCAGGTTGGCCTTGAACTC